TAATTGTCAATAGCCTTAGTTTCACAACCAACAACACCATCCAATTCATCAAAGAAATAATAGAAGTCATCATCAAACGTCATAATGGGAGAAGTTTTAAGACAACCTATAGGACAATTTTCTTCAAATTACATCTTTGTTTCTAGGATGATGCAATTGGAACAACATGCTTTACTCAAAATAGATCTTACATTAACAAACGATTTTTAATAACTCCTTATGAGATATTGAACAATTGCAAACCTAATGTGAAATTTTTCCATGTGTTTGGTTCCGGGTGCTTTATATACCATTTAAATGAGCATCGTAACAAATTTAATGTTAAGGACGATGACACAATTTTTCTTGGGTACTCTTTTACCTAAAAGGCATATCGTGTTCTCAATAAGAAGTCCAAAAATATTGAAGAAAGTTATTACATCACATTTGATGACAATTTCATCAAATCCTTTCAACACGAAGTATCTCGATGTGAACAAAATTTTCCTTTAGGATGTCTTAAAACTTATCCCATTATGACGATTGATGATGACTTCTATTATTTCTTTGATGAATCAGATCGTGTTGTTGGTTGTGAAACTAAGGCTATTGACAATTACAAAGATGAATTATTAAAGATTGTTGATGAAGCCATTGTATTTCGGATCATGTTTGTATATCCGACCTCCTTAGTTTGTTAGGATTTATCTTTGTTTCGCCTTTGTATTATCTATGTATGTATTTATATGTGAGATTAATGAGATAAGGAGCAGGGAATATTTCACGATTACAATATTAGAGTGATCGATATGGGGCATTTATGCTCCCGTTATGGGTAAGGTGGCACCCATAACGACGTCGTAACTCCGGCTACACCACCCCCCCAAATCGTTAAGGTGGTCTTTGGTTGTAACGAGAACGAGATAAAATGGCTAATTTGATTGGCTACTTCGTTTTTGAACATTATTTTTGACCATTTGACTAAACAATATTTAAAAAAAAATATAATTTTTTTTACCTATAAGTACATAATATCATTATCTACCCTTTTCAACTCACACAACTCGTCTCTTTTCTATATATTCTATAAAATTTCAAAACTTTTCAGAAAAAGTTATAGATCCTTTCGACTCATTCGACGATGACAGTGACGATATATTCATCACTATGATGTACCAATATTGCCCTAACGAGCTACTACAACCAAACTCAAACTCTCTACTAACATGATGTGTGATGTTAAATATAAATTGCGAGGAAGGACACAAACGTCTATATCGTGATTACTTTGCGTATAATTGTGTCTACGGGTCAAAGGAGTTCAAAAGAAGATTTCTTTTTAAGTAGGAATGTGTTCATACGGATCGCCAACGCTTTGAAAAGCATGTATCGTTTCTTTAATTTTAATACATATGTACTATATTTTTAATACATATTTACTATATTTTAAATACATATTTTTATTCTGTATTGACTATATTTTCAATACATAATTAATATATGTTTAGGTATACGTTTTTCCAATTGAGATATGATGTTAGAGACATGCGAGGATTCACAACGTTGCAGAAACGTGTTGCAGCCATTCTTTTGATGGCTATGGGGAGTCACCTGATACTATGGACGATTATATGAGAATGTCCAAAAGAACTGCAAGAGAAAGTTTGTATAGATTGTCAAAAGGTGTTGTTGAAACATTTGGAGACGTATATTTTCGAAAACCTTTGTTGCATGATATGAAAGAACTGTATGCGACACATGAAGAAAGATATGGTTTTCCCGAATGCTTGGAAGCATTTGATTACAGACACTGGAAATGGAAAAATTATTCGGTAGCATGGAAAGGGCAGTATACAAGTGGTCATCACGGATCCCCTTCGTTGGTACTAGAGGTTGTTGCTTCCTAAGATTTATGGATTTGACATGCATTTTTCGGGATTGTGGGTTCCAACAACGACGTCAACATTCTTGATCAGTCACAAATACCCGACCATCTTTTGTCATGAAAGACACTAGATGTTCCTTTCACAGTTAATGGAAACGAATACAAGTTTGGGTATTGGAATATATCCTTCATATTCGACATTCGTGAAGGCATTCCGATACCCGGTTGAACCAAGAGATAAAATATTCAAGAGAAGACAATAATGAGCGCGTAAGGATGTGGAACGTGATTTTGGAGTTCTAAAGTCGAAGTGACACATCTTTGAACATGCAGCACAACCATTGGACATAGAAACTCTACGATATATTATGTATACGTGTATCATAATGCATAACATGGTAATAGAAGATAAATGACAAAATATTTCACACTATATCCCAACGGAGCCCAACCACAGTCAATTTCAACCAAGAACAACATAATATTTACATAGAGCCATTGACATTAGGACGCAAATAAACATAAACAATTTACTTGGCGGATTATATCTCCAATGGTAACGATGATGAATAGAGTTGTTTAGGAAAAATAAATTATGTATATTTTTTGTCTTGTAATGTTTTTTTTTAAAATTTTAATTTGGATTGTTATGTCTAATTTAAATGTTATGATTTTTTAAGTTTTTATATATTATGTTTTATTTAAATATTATGTTTTATGAAAATATATTTGTTTTAATAAAAAAAGAAACTCGGAAAAAAATATATAAAAAAAATGATGATATGTAAATTAATGTGTGTTATAATATGTTGTTAACGTTGTGATCGTTTTTTCAATCGGTGTTTTATACCATATAAGATGACACATATAATATAATACGACATTGAGGCTTCATCACACGTAGATATCCTATGTGGAAGGTACGTCTAATAATGAAGACCACACCAAAGCATAGTGAGCATATTGTGAAATGGTGGCTACCATAGAAAATTACCAAAGCTTTTGTGTGTCTCTCTCTCTTCCTTTTCTCTCCCCCAATCTCTTTTCTTCATCGCTTCTTCACTAGTGAACACCATCCCTAAAATATAATGGGTTTATTGTGAAAGGGCATTTGATGATATATGAAATTGTTTTCACCTGTATATACGTAGTAAGGATACGGGATAGCCTAACATATTTCCTGTACTTGTATCTGTATCCATTTTAGCCTTTTATCCATATTGAAGTAAAAGTGACCGAGAGAGAATGGATACCATCCATTGGGCCATCTCCCTCGTAAAAAGAAACGGTCAGAGACGACTGGCAACACCCACGCAAACCAACACGTCATATTATCCAACATTGAAAAAGTCTTTCCCTTATTTTCCTTCAACTCCCTTCATTAATGCACACATCCCTTTACTGCATCGACACCCTGATATTTGTTACATAGATAGTCTTTGTAATATCTTCAACCATTTTCTTTGGTCCTTTTAGATAATAAAGGTTCACTATTGACACTAAAGGGATTATTTTGTACCATATTGGTTCCTTCCATGAACTAGGTCCTCAAAATTTACCACTTTCAATAATAAATACTCTCTCCGTCTCAAAATTATAGTTCATCTTTCTTTTTTGGTTTGTCCCTAAATAATAGTCAACTTCTAAAAATAAATAACATATTTACGAAAATACTCTCTCATTATTACTTAACCAACTAAACATTTAATGTAACATTAAATGCAAAGTAAGGACAAAACTGTCATTTTATTAAATAAAGTTAGTGGTAATTAATGTTTTTCTTAGTGTGTTTTTGTTTGTGGACAATAATATTGGGACGGAGGGAAAATATAGAAAAAATTCGTTCAGTTTCGTCTATATACAATTGACACTTCTTTATTGACTTTGGCAGTTTCAAGGAGGTCCTCAAAGTTTACAACAATAAAATTTTATCAGGTTTGACTTTTTCATTTACAAGATCTCTACCATATGAAGTCATGCCCTTTAAATATTCACCCTAAAAATTAATGAACTTCATTAATCTATACCAAAATTTATACTTATTTTCCAAAATAAAGGAAAAACATATTAAGTGAAATTATAATTTATTCATAACATGTCAAACAAGTAAAATATAAAATAAGGTAAAAACCATTATAATAAAGTTTATTAATCGTAGTTAATGTATTAACTATATAGTATAATATTTAAATAACAGACAACAATTATTGCCCAGTACTAAACTAAAAAGAAAAATCAATTTCAATGAGGTCCTTAAAGTTTACAACACTAAAATTCTACCAGGTTTGACTTTTTCATTTATAAGATCTCTACCACATGAAGTCACGTCCTTTAAATATTCACGATAAAAATTAATGAACTTCATTAATCTATACCAAATTTTATATTTTTCAATACACATCGATAGAAGACAAACGGACAAAAAGCTACGCCGCTAGCCTTTTCTGGATGGCAAAACTAATAATAATAAAGTTTGTTAATCGTAGTTAATGTATTAATTATATAGTATAATATTTAAATAATAGACAACAATTATTGGTTTGTAAACTCACTCATAATTTATTTTTTTGGCCAAAAAGAAAAATCGATATGTTATTATACCACTCATGTTGATCTCCTTTTTAACTAATGAATGGAAATGGAAAAATGTAAAACTTAGAAATACAACTAATCTAAAAAAGTTGTTAATGTGGGACCAGCTCACCGGTAGAGGCTTTGCTCTTAGATTGGAGGTCTCAAGTTCTAACCCTGACGTGAACAATTTGTGATACTAACTTCTAACCATTAATCCGTCGTTCAAAAAAAGATAATAATAATAATAAAATAAACTAATCTAAAAACGTTAATCTAAAAATAGTGTATTGTGGTGGAAAGAGAAAAGAATATGAACTAGAAGGACCTAAATTCAATTGGGTGTAAAGTTTGAGGACTCAAAAGCATTTTTGTTTTATTATCTCTCTCCTCTTAATTGGGACAGTACTGACTTTGACTTTCTCCTCGACTCCTTCCGCTCTTCATATAAAACCAAATTGCAATTCCTAAAGATAGTTCGAAGCCAATCTTTGAGTAGCAAGAAACGTGAAAAAAGGTGAGATCTAAAGTGAAAATCAGGTTAAAATCTTTATTAGTTTTCGAGATGGAGGTTGAGATCGATGTTCCATCGCATTTCCTATGCCCGATCTCCATGCAACTCATGAACGATCCAGTCACGATATCAACTGGCATCACCTACGACCGGCAAAGCATAGAGAGATGGTTATTTACATGCAGAAGCAGCAGTTGCCCGGTCACAAAACAGGTGTTGTCCGACACCGGTCTAACTCCTAACTACACCCTTCGCCGGTTGATCCAGTCCTGGTGCACCATGAACTCACACCATGGACTCGATCCTATCACGACACCAAAAGAGCCAGTAAGCAAGTCCCATATCCTAAATCTCCTCCACGACGCAAGAAGAAACCCACATAACCAGATCAAATGCTTGAGAAGAATGAGATCTATTGCCCAAACGAGCGATTGTGTGGAGGATTTGGGTGCGTTTGAGTTCTTGACGATGGTTATACTGAAGGAAAAAGAGAGTGGTTCTCTCAGTGAAGAATGTGATGAAGCACTAATCATTTTTCATCATCTTCAATGCACGGACATCCAACTACGAAAACTAGTGCAACTTGAGGATGAATCCATATTCTTTGATGCATTATTGCGCGTAATGAGGATCGGAAGAATCGAGTCTCGATTACATGCAATAATGTTGTTAAGAAAGCTTTTCAAGGTGGCAGATCCAGCGCAGAACGCGGGCATCAAGGGTGAGCTTTTCGAGGAAACAGTTAGAATCTTAAAAGATAATGGTGTTTCCCTACAAACTATCAAAGCTTCATTAGAGCTTGTCACAGAGATCATCCGTTGGGGAAGAAACCGAATAAAGGCAGCTGAAGCTGGGATGGTTTCAGTTCTAATAGAGCTTCTGATTGACAACTCCGACAGACGGGTTTGTGAGTTGATGCTGGTGGCCTTGGAGCAGATTTGCCGGTGTGCAGAGGGGCGAGCAAAGTTTCTGGAGCATGCAGCGGGGCTTGCCACGGTTTCCAAGAAAGTATTGAGGGTTTCTCATGTGGCAAGTGATAGGGCAGTGAGAATATTGTTTTTGATTTGTAGGTTCTCTTCAAGTTATAGGGTTCTTCAGGAGATGCTAGAAGTGGGTGTGGTTTCAAAGCTGTGTCTAGTGATTCAAGTGGATTGTAGTGAGACAACAAAAGAGAGAGTGAAGCAAATCCTAAACTTGAATTCAAGGATTTGGAAGGAGGCTTCTTGTATTCCTGCTCATTTGCTTTCATCTTATCCTTCATTATGAGATACAAAGGATTCAGATTATTATTTTTATTATGTAATTAACTTATTTTACTGTAAATTACCTATATATTACACTTTTTAGAATATAAAAACAAACACTAAATATGGTTAACCGTTAATTACTTTCCCATTTGAAATTACGATAATTAAAATCCTCACTTTGTCATACTTGGGTTTTAACTTTTGTAAATCTTCAATGGATGCATGTACGTACAAAAGAGCCTTAATTTTTAGGTACAATGTAAATACATGTTATGTGAACTAGATCTCTTTGTGAAGCTACAAGAATGATGTTTCACAAAGATTCCATACATATAAAGAACACTACAATTCGACTTATAATGAAGAAGTTATGACCCGTCGAAGTTTCACGATTAACCGACACGGTTCCGCGTATCGTAAAAAGTAAATTTTTGATAAATTACATTTTAGCCTTAGTGATCTAAACGAAAGTCGTAGTAGTCGTTAAACCGAGAGCGTGCATATAGAGAACGTCAAAATCTGACTTCATTTGAGGAAGTTATAATTTTTCTAAGATTCAGCGTGGCAGTGTATAGCTCAGAAATCGAATTTTAGGTCGGTCGATTTTTAGCCAAAATAATCTAAACGAGAATTGAAAAATCTCGTTAATAGGAGCTCAATGATATAAAGACAGTCGAAAACGGAGCTCGTATGCGAAAGATATGGACGAAACTTAGTCCCTACTCTTCAAGCACGACGAATTCGATATAGATTTGTAAATCTGAGATAGAATGAGAATTAGTTGATGGAGTCTAAATGAAAGTTGTAGCACTCGTAAATACCAACACGTGGATATAAAGAACGGTGAGAATAGAGCTCGTATGTTAAAGATATCGACGAAACTTAGTCTCTACTCTTCGAGCGCGATAAATTCGATACAGATTTGTAAATCTGATATAAAATGAGAATTAGACGACGGGGTCTAAATGAAAGTTCTAGTATTCGTAAATACCAACGCATAGAAATAAATAAAATAGAAAACGGAACTCGTACGCGGAAGAAACGGACGAAACTTAGGCCTACTCTATGATCAAACCCCTATAAATAGAGGATGAATATTTCATATTTCCTTACTCAATTCCTCTAAACTCTCTCTAGAGTTCGTCTTTCTTTCTTATTCGATTTCTCCTAATCTTAGGGTGTGATAGAGAAACTCTGAGTCGTCAAAAAGCCGACGAAAGAAGTTTTTAGAGTCGGAGTTCTGCCTGTGTAATTTCCCGGTTTTCGTTAAAAGCCCGGTAAGTTAAGCTACACTATTCTGTTTTCAGTGTAACTTATATTTATAGTCATAAGTCGTTATTGCGAACCTATAAATAAGATTTATCAGTGATTCAAAATCGTTATATTGATTGATCTACTTACGGGGATGATGTCTAGGCTGTGATTTAGTGAGGTGTTTAAAGTGGGATTTTCAAACAATATACCTCGTATACCAAATAGACCCTACCTCCGATATGATCCAACCTGGTTGTTCCTTACTTGATAGATCATCAAAGTAGACTTTGAGTTAATTATGAATCTAGACTAATAATTATTTGCAATAAATATTAGACTAAAACATAGCGATAATAATGCTAGGTTACGTCAAAGGAAAAGACAGTTGCTAGAAGCGAAGCGCTGCCCAAATTTCAAGTCGTCACTTTAGCAAGTGAGTGCATAGTCCATTTCATGAACATGATTTTAATAGAAGTATTAATAAAAGTATTAAATATATGTTGAAAGTTTATATGTGAGTTATATGCTTATTATCTGGAAATATGTGTTATATGTATATTTGATGATATACGCTATGCGAACGAGACATGGTTCGATTTGTGTTGAGATGTATTTACATGATAATAATAATATAAGTATTATAAATGAGAAGATAAATGTATCTTAATACTTAATACCCTGCATAAAATATTACACTAAATTAGGATAATGTTGCCATAACTGAGTTGGTATTAAAAGTTGATTATAAGCATTGTAGGCTTGCTTAGTGATGAAATAAGACTTAAAAGAGATGCTTAGTTCAATGAAGTTTGGATATTGGGTAGTATCTTATTAAGGGTACATGTGTGATCGAAATAGAAAGTAGAAACTCTGTTCGAGGAGATTGATAATCGATGGAGTATGTCCTACATACAAAAGTACTTTCTATGTACCAAGTCTTTTTCATAGCTCTGTGTCTTAGCTACTGCTTGTGCCGGGGTATTCTTATGTTCTAGGGTACGAGTCCTACTCATACCAGGGTACTATAATGTACCAGAAGTACTGTCATGTACAAAGTCCTTTTTAGCACTATTGTGTGTCAGGGTATGGGAGCGTACGGGAGTACTTTATTAGTATTTCCCCATACTTTTTCTTTTGATGAGCTTTGTGTGTCAGCGTTTCCTTTCACGAAGTAATTGAGGGAACTTCATAGACTGTCCAATAGAGTGTGTCAACAATAGACCACTACCAAGTATGTCTGATGTTGTATTACCGGATAGGGTGAGTCTGGGGGTAAAATACCTCACAGTGCCATACCAATGCTAGGCACAGTTATCTAGATAACCACCCTTGACTTAATTGTCTTGTTGTTTTTACGAATGGAGGTTCGTGGTGAAACTCATTCCATTCCCCTCTGTCACACCCCAAAACCGAAATGGCGAAACGTTCGGGGGTGGAGGACGTCATGTATAGTATCACAACAATGCATAATAGTAAACAAGCAACAACATCATCCATTGCATTAATAGTAATAATTTATATACAAGCGTGTTCTGTAGTTTATAAGACACCAAAAATGAATAATCAAAATGAAAGATGAGTCTTGAATGTGCTCCATCTTCTCAAAAACCTGGTCATCGGTACCTGTCTACTGGCGACCTGAGTATACAAGTTATTTTGAAAGCGTAGATCAGCATTTAAGCTGGTGAGTTCATAAGTATTTTAGTGTCGTTGTTTGCATAAATTGAAGAAAGTAGTTGTAAATGTTTTATGTAAGAGTGTGTGAGTGTTTGTTGAAAATGTTTGTAACTTCCTAGAAAATCCTATATTTTCTACTAAAGTGGTCTTCTACCAAGACCCAACTGTTTTCTATGTTTGTTCTTTTGTAAAAGTGTGAGTTTTCCCAAAGTATGACTATCATTACCAAAACTATAGTTTTTCATTACCGTTTATGTGAGAAGATCACAATGTGAATGAAAATGGGAAATAAAGATGTACTAGTAGTTTTATCTAGGTAACTACTTATTGTACTAACTACCCTTAAACTGGTTAGTTTAATTAAGGTAAAATGTGATGTGATTGTAACCATACTTGATCGACCGTATAACACGACGTTCGAGACGCCGAAATGATATGACATTCGTCACCCGTAGACCTGCAGGTCCCACTGTAGCTAGCAGCAAGGTGTGGGATGGTCAGTCCCGTATAGATCTATACACAAATTCATGCTCTCCCTCCAGGAGACTCTGGGTACAAAACGTGACACAGCAGTGTATGCCGAGCCATGAAGTAGTATCTCACATTAATGTTATAGTATCTTAGTATTATAGTATGTTCCAGTGTAGTATTCTTCCCATCTAGTATGTAGTACGTTCTCTAGTATGTAGTATGTTCTTTAGTATGTAGTATGTTCTCTAGTATGTAGTATGTATTGATTCTCATTATAGTATTCTCGATCTGTTTCTCTTTATAGTAAGTATTGTTTATCGTTATAGTATGTACTGACTCTTAGTATGAAATGACTCTTAGTATGTTTCGTTGCTCTAGTAATAGTATTAGTGACTTCCTAAACTATACCTATTATAGTTTACTAGAAATGTTGTTGGTATGAATGAACATGATTGAACACCTTTGCTACCCAAAGGATCTGAACTGAATAAAGACTTTTATATCTATATACATATACATAATATATAACTAAGATTCAAACGACCTTCGGACAAACAACCGATGCCCTAAGTCCACAACCAAACAAGGAACAGGAAGTAAGGCGAGGTGTCAGTCCTAAGTCCTTTCAATCCTACTTATATAACTATATCTATATAGATATGTTTTAGACAAAGTATAAGTTTAAAAGAGTTTGATAAAGAGTTTTGCATATAAATAAATTTGTTAAAGAGTTTGCATATAAAAGAGTTTGTAACACGATTTGAAGTAGTTTGTTTGAAAACACAGTTTGAAGTGTAAGAGATCATTGTTTGATAGCTATTAATCACATGCGAATGATATAATAAATCTAATGTTTTTACTTGTATTCCCCCCCCCCCCCCAAAAAAAAGCATTTAAAATCATTTAAAATGTAATTTAAAGGGGTATGAACTCACCTGCAGTGAGTGGTATGAATGAAAGATTGGTTTGTAGGATGCTAAGTGCCAAGTGAAGACTTGAGCACAACGGATCCTAATAAGCATATATTGGCACATATATGTATCTAATTAGTCTTTATACAACTAATAATGAAAGGAAAACATCCTAGGACTTAGAAAACACTTAGATTGAAGTGTTAGAAGCATCAAAGGTCGTATAAAATGGGTGTACGGCCGTACAGGGGCGTGTGCGGCCACCAAGTGTGCTGCCCATTGGGTGTGCGGCCTGGTGTGTGCGGCCGCACACTCCTAGGAAAAATGGTCAAAAAGTGTTTTCGAAGGTTATATCTTGCATCCCCTAAGTGTCTTTGATCATGTTCTGAAGATGTTTTTGAATGAATGATTCCTTACAGAAAGCAAATGATTCAAGAAATTCAGATTTATCAAACTCCTAAGGATTGTGTTCAAAAGTCTTCAAATGTTCAGATTTAGAAAGAAGAAAAAGATGTTCAGATCCGAAATTTATTTCTGAAGCCTAGAAATAAGAAAAGTAGGAAGAAGAGAAAGAACAAGAGTAAAATGAAGAAAGTTTGGATACCCAAGGTACAAGTGCCCAATGCTTGTAAAAAGGTTGAGAAAGTTGATTTCAAGCATGCTCAAAGAATCTCTGATTCTCATTTTTCTTCAGTTAAAAATGTTA